CCCCCCGCACACCCCCCACACACACACACACACACACACACACACACACAAACACACACACACACACACACACCTGGAGAAATTTTGCAAAATAAGTCTTTAGGAAATCAAATAATTTCAGTAACTAAATGTAGTCGGGCATGGTGATGCTCACCCGTAGTCTCAGCTCTTTGTTTCCAGTTTGAGGACAGCCTGAGCTACATAGGGAGGCCTAGGCTAGAGAGAGCTATTTAAACGAAGAAGAAAAACCAGAACACTGTAGTAAGGAGTTGATAAATAATGTCTGCATAGTGGGAATACATGTAGTTTCATTTTGTTTGTATATCTAAACTCCCTGGTATAAGCTTATATCATCATGGTTATCTTTGTTTTGCAGTGCTAGAGCCTGAACCCAGAACCTAGTGTTCTACACTCAACTATTCCTTCAGCCCACTTTATCTATGAAATTAGAGATATCACTGAACTGTGTCTCCAGCCTTGACAGTATTTCTTTCGTTGGAGAGTGAAGGGAGATAGGTTGCAGAGGATGTTAGGTGTCCTCCTATGTTGCTTTCAGCCTTATTCTCTCTAGATAGTGTTTCCCGCTGTGCTTAAAGCTTGCCCTGAGGTCTATGCTGGCTAGCCACCAAGCCTCCATGATCTGTCTTTGCTCTCCAATACTGGTGTCACAAGCAGGCTCAGCCATGCCAGACTTTTCACCTGAGTGCTGGGATTTGAACCCTCAGTCTTCATCCTTGTGCAGCATTCATACCCACCGAGCCATCTGTCCAGTCCCTACATTAGTGTCATTTTTTATGAGAAAATAAAATGTTCTATGTAAAAACAGAGTTAGGCTTTACCCTTGGCCTGTGGGAAAGTCAGTCAGAGGGCTAGAACTTTTCTTCCTTCCTTCCTTCCTTTTTTTTTTTTTTTTTTTTTTTTTTCACTTTTAGACCAGTAGTGTCACCCAAGCCAGGTGGCTATCACTCAAGGAAGACAGCCAGGTTCTTGTGGAAGAGGAGTTACCAGGCAGCAGCAAGAGAGCAAGTCAGACTCAAGATTATTAAACAGATGCATCTCACTTTCTAGAAGCAACGGCAAGTGTTAAGTTCCCTGGATCACAAAACAAACCCTTGGCCAGTAGACACTGCTTCCTGCTCGGTGCCTGGGATGCCTCTGGTTCTAGGGGTGCAAAGATGAGGAGAATTGGTAGTCGGCAACTGGAAAGTGTGCCAAACCTCAGAGTTCTAAGGAAAGGTTCAGGGGTGTGAAGTCTGATTAGCTCTTCCAAACAATGTGCTCCTCCAGGGAGAAGTAAAAGCAAGGTCTCTTCCATCCACCCTTTAATGCAGTTCCTCATGTTGTGACCCCAACCATACAATTATTTCATTGTTACTTCATAACTGTAATTTTGCTGCTGTTATGAATCATAATATAAATAGCTGATATGCAGGATATCTGATAGTCGACCCTTGTGAAAGTGTCATTTGACACTCCCCACCCCCACACACACACAGGGGTCATGGTCCACAGGTTGAGAATCATTGCTTTAAAAAAATAAAATAAAATAAAAACAGTGTTTGTTATTCGTGCAATTGGGCTGTGAGTCCCTTTTCTCTGCCCATACTGATGAGGAAAAACCAAAGACCGTTCCTTTAAACAGGCAGGTCCAGTTCAGGGTCTGCACCTGTGGGTTTGTAGAAGCCTTTCTGAAGCACAAGAAACCTGCATCTCTTGGGCTGTGAGCTGCTGGGTCCTAAAAAGCCTTCTCACTGCTGCCTGTAGGCTCTTTCCAGAGCAGCCTTTGGAGCTCCTTTGGTAGAAATCAATATGAAAGGACCTTGTAAACCTGTGAAAGGCTCTGAGGAAAGTCGTGTAACTATGGCATATACTCCTCTATTTCTTAGGATTTGTTAACACCAAAAGAATGTCTGGTACCAGGCTAGAAATCCCAGAGGAACATTGAAACTCAAAGCATTGGGAGTTAAAGAGATGACTTCATCAGTCAAGGCCCTTGATCCTGAAAGGTGACAATCTGAGTGGATCCCTGGAAACCACATAAAGGTGGAAGGAGAGAAGCAACTCCACAAAGTTGACCTCCAACACACAAGTTGTCACATACCTGCCTAGTCACATCACATGTCCACACACACAAATACACTGGTAATGCTGGTGAATAAAAACCATTTGGCATAAAAAGAAAACGCAGGATTGGGGATGTAGTTCAGGGGTAGAGCATTTGCTTAGCAATCATGGAACCCAGCATTCACTTCCTAACACTGCCAGGAAAAAAAAAATAAATAACTGAAAGAAAGAGCAGGGGAGGGAAGGAGGAAGAAATGAGAGAAATAAAAGGAATGTGAAGGATCCCTTCCGGGCAAAGTGAGTGATTCTGTGGGTGGACAAAGTACAAGATGTAGGGCAGAGGAGAAAATTCCGTAGCTGTATTTTGGTCTTGGTTAATGGGGGAGAAGTGAAATGTTGATTTTCACTCCCTCAGATATTTTTCAGGGCTTTTTATCTTTCTGGCAAACATTTCAGGTCATACTGAGAACAGTAACTTGACTCACTGCAGACTGCTGTTCATGAAATCTTCAACAGTTAAGTGCAAATACTTGAATGGTTTCATATCCTCTGTGCAAGATTAGCTAGATAACTCTTGCATAAGAGACCATTAATGTTTTAAAGCATCCACAAGACACAACTGATTCAAAGTAGATAAACTACAAAGTCCCCAGTCTTGTGACACACAAGAAGCAGTGGTGACCAGTAAAACATGGAGTCAAAAGACAAGTCACAGGGAAGGCTGGAGGTGGGGTCAATTATCTGAAACTTGACAAGTCACAGAGCACTTGAAATATGGCTGCTCTGAGGACACGTCCCTACACCCTGGGAAGTAGTTAATACCACCAAACTGTAGGTTTAGAGATGTTGAAATGCTGAATTGTCTATGTATCTTACTGCAATTAAAAAAACAAATCAGAGCCAGGTGGTGACCCACACCTATAACTCTAGCACTCAGGAGACAGAGGCAGGCAGATGTAAGTTCCAGGCCAGCCTGGTCTACATAGTGAGTTCCAAGACAACCAAGGATGATACACAAAGAAACTCTCATGAAAAAACAAACAAATCTAAAAACTGTGTAGGCTAGGTGGGGGATGTAGTTCAGTAGGAGCAGTGATTATCCACCAGGCACCACGCCCTGGGCTCCTGCCTCATTTGGGGGAAAGGTTAATCCCAGGCACTATTTACATAAATGAATGTGTTGTTTATAATTTTATCCTTTTCTTGATACTTCACCATTTAATGCAGTGCTTTTTGAACAAGGTTGCAATAAGGTGGCATGGCTACTGTAGAAACTGAGACTGGAAGACCCCTTGCTCCAAGAACTCCAGGCTAACCTGAACCACACAGAGAGCCTGTTTCTAAAACTAAACAAAACCAAGGGTGGTGTACCCTCTGTCCAGAGCCAAGTGTGCTGCAGGTAAGCTCTCCCTAAGAGTCAGGTGCCTGGAAGAATGAAGCCTCTGAAACAATTCCTCCCACTCTCTAACAGAGCCAGTTCAAACACCCTGCTGAGGGAAGACCTCGTCAGCCCTGCTTCTCTCTGAGGAGCAGCATTCTAAGGCAGACACACAGAGTGTCACTGTTGGTGATGGAGTAGAGAAAGCAGCCCACCTCAGTACTGGGACTACTCCTTCTCCATCACTTGCACTTCTGTCAACTCAGTGCGGCTAATGGAAGACAAAGTGAAATTGGCAGCTTGGTTGGTGGATCATTTTGTGGTTCAGCTTCCACTGAAAAAGGCATTCAGAGGACACTACCATGTCATGATCTTCAAAGCTTGACAAAGTTTGGATCTCCCAAGTGCTTGCATTCCAGGCACAAGTCACCAATCCTGGCTGGGAGCCCCTTCTTGATGTGTGGAGTTCATATAATTATTTTTAATTTAATGTTTAAATTTATAATTTTTTAATTTTTTTATTTTGTAGATTTTATTTATTTGAGACAACGTCTCACTATGTAGCCCAGACTGTTCTGAAACTGGCCATGTAGACCTGCCTGGCCTTGAACTTACAAAAATCCTTCTGTCTCTGCCTCCCAAATGTTGAAATTAAGATCCCCACTCTCAGCTGTTACTTTATTTTATGGGTGTGTAACACAAATAAATAAATGACCCAGAGACTGATATTGGGGTTCAAGCTGAAGTTCAGAAAAGCAAAGCAGCCAGCCACTAGCTCTTACTTCACCTCACACTGAAAGGAGATCCTGGCTCCACCAAACCTCCAACTACTGCCTCTCCTCAGCATGGCTGGAGAATCCTGAGACTTTCATGTCTTCTTCTCCTCAATGTGTCTGAAGAATGAATGCCTCCTACTCAATACTGAAGACCCTGATTCTATCTTTTATATCCCTCTGGTGCTGGGATTAAAGGTTTGTTCCTGGCTTCTATGG